AATTTGGTCAGTACCGGTACATTATATGTTTTCTCTAAAACCAGCCTTTTCATCTCTTAGTTTGTAGTTGATCGCTTTTTTTTTTCTCCGCATAATAATTCTAGTTAGTATTTTTTTCTGGTACAAAAAACAATATGATTCCTCTATATTTTCCACACAATTTCTGCATACTCATACATATATTTGTTTCTATTTGATCAGCGTTCTTTTTTTCCCTTTACAGTGTAACGAAGCATATTTTTTCCTGTGATAAATTCATTAAAAACTAATTGGGTACTTTTAGTCTGTCATATTTCCCCCCTTGGAGCGTGACGTACTTTATGGACGGCCCCTAAGGTTAACTGCATATGCGCACCAAACATGACAAGGACCGCGCCAAATTTGAAAGCCAACTCTACATACACAGTGCCAGATTAAGGACCCCATCTGAGGCGTAGCGAAAGGGGTAGGGAGGCAGGGGGTAGATGTCCCTGGATGCCAGCTAGTTAAGGGCTTCAAAAAGTGTTTTAATATTATTTTATTGATCAAAATAATGGTGATTGAGAGCTGAAAAAAGAAAAAGGGGCGCTTTAAGATGAATCTTGTCCCTGGGCGCGAATCTTGTCCCCGGGCGCCGAACACTCTCGCTACGCCTCTGGACTCCATGCACGCCTAATCGGAGCCCGTGTCAAGGGTTCAGGGCTGTTCAGTTTGGTGTTGATTGAATGTTCAACATAGATTAACTTGTTGACTATAGATTAACTTGATTACTATAGATTAACTTGTTGACTATAGATTAACTTGATTACTATAAATTAACTTGATGACTATAGATTAACTTGATTACTATAGATTAACTTGATGACTATAGATTAACTTGATTACCAATAGATTAACTTGATTACTATAGATTAACTTGATTACTATAGATTAACTTGTTGACTACAGATTAACTTGATGACTATAGATTAACTTGTTGACTATAGATTAACTTGATTACTATAAATTAACTTTATGACTATTGATTAACTTGATTACTATAGATTAACTTGTTGACTATAGATTAACTTGATTACCATAAATTAACTTGATGACTATAGATTAACTTGATTACTATAGATTAACTTGATTACTATTGATTAACTTGATTACTATAGATTAACTTGATTACTATAGATTAACTTGATGACTATAGATTAACTTGATTACTATAGATTAACTTGATTACTATAGATTAACTTGTTGACTATAGATTAACTTGATGACTATAGATTAACTTGTTGACTATAGATTAACTTGATTACTATAAATTAACTTGATGACTATTGATTAACTTGATTACTATATATTAACTTGATTACTATAGATTAACTTGATTACTAATAGATTAACTTGATTACAAATAGATTAACTTGATGACTATAGATTAACTTGATTACTATAGATTAACTTGATTACTATAGATTAACTTGTTGACTATAGATTAACTTGATGACTATAGATTAACTTGTTGACTATAGATTAACTTGATTACTATAAATTAACTTGATGACTATTGATTAACTTGATTACTATAGATTAACTTGATTACTATAGATTAACTTGATGACTATAGATTAACTTGATTACTATAGATTAACTTGATGACTATAGATTAACTTGATGACTTTAGATTAACTTTATTACAGTAGATTAACTTGATTACTATAGATTATATTTTTTTTTTAAATCCGTTACACATGGATCCCTTTATTTCATTTGATAGCGGTCAAAAGAAAGGAATTTTCTTGATCCCATGGTTGCGCATAACCCGGGCATCCTTGTTGTTTATGAATGAAATAAAGACAAGGAGATGGTGATCCCAATGTAAATAAACAACCTAGAAGAGGGGCTACTCAATTTTCACTCGACTTATGGTGAAAATAACTTTTTTCTTTAATAAATGATCCCGGACCTACCCTTATTTTTTCAATGAAGAAGGATAGAGTCTTTTGTGATGATCGTCTCAAATTAACATCTCCAGCGATATTCAACACTAGGTCTTTACAGGAATCTCCGTGAACGTCTGCTCATTGAATAAAGAATCGTGATCGTTGGAGCGTAACTCGAGAAACACAGCTCTGAGTCTAAGTTGTTGTTTGGCCTCTTTCTTGTCCTACTCATGTTTCATAGAAGATATTGTCTAATAAGCGGTCCATATTTCAGATGATTAGGATGGGTGTTGTGTTTTGTTCTTGTAAAATGTGTGTGCACCAGCCATTTGAAGTCTTGTATTCTTATAGCATGTTTGCACCACCCATTGTCAGTCTTATAGTCTTATAGCATGTGTACACCAGCCATTGTAAGGCTTGTATTATTATAGCATGTGTGTACACCAGCTATCGTAAGGCTTGTATTCTTGTAGCATTTGTGTACAACAGCCATTGTCAGGCTTTTATTTTTATAGCCTGTGTGTACACCAGCCATTGTAAGTCTTGTATTCTTATAACATGTGTGCACCAGCCATTGTCAGGCAAGTATTCTTATAACATGTGTGTACATCAGCCATTGTAAGGCTTGTATTCTTGTAGCTTGTGTGTACACCAGCCATTGTCAGGCTGGTATTATTATAGCATGTGTGTACACCAGCCATTGTAAGGCTTGTATTCTTGTAGCATTTGTGTACAACAGCCATTGTAAGGCTTGTATTCTTGTAGCATTTGTGTACAACAACCATTGTAAGGCTTGTATTCTTGTAGCATATGTGTGCACCAGCCATTGTCAGGCTTGTATTTTTATAGCATGTGTGTGTGTATCGGCCGTTGTCATGCTTGTATTCTTATAGCATGTGTCTGTGTATCGGCCGTTGTCAGGCTAAGCTAAACATTGAACCCACCTAGTAGAGACTTCAAATTGTAGAAATGTTTATCAATTAATTTACGGCATTGTTGATCAACCAAAACAAATAGCAATTATTACACTTCAAGCTAAAAAGTTAAACAATTCTTTAACAAGTTATTGAAGAATTAAGAATAAATGGACTAATGAAGAAAACGTGTCCAATAATATTATTTTTATTTAATTGTAGGGAATTTAATATATCCATCATATTTTTTTTTATTTTTAGAAAATTGTTTTTAAAGACTTTGCACTTAAATATGACCACCACACAATGCGTTATTAATTTCCTAGTATATTGGTGGCAACCGTCGTACCCATAATTTCCCCGTCCTAGTTACGCCGCTGCAGCAATGAACATGGTTCGCTGGTGTCGTATACAGACTTTTTCGCTGGCAATAACCATTTCCCCACAAAACGAAGTTACCGTATCTTTTTTGCCAAAGTACATCAGGTTTTGTGCGACGCCAGCCAAAGTGGAAACGCCTTGTGCTCGCTAATCTCAGAAAATGGAGTTACGGAAATCTTTAGAGCAGTGGTTCTTAACCTGGGTTCGATCAATCCCAGGGGATTCGGTGAGTCAGTCTCAGGGGTTCGGCGGAGGTCCCAAAAAATCAGAAAAAAAAAAAGATATTTTATTTTTCCTATAAAGAAGGGTTCGGTGAGTGCGCATATGAAACTGGTGGGGTCCGGTACCTCCGAAAAGGTTAAGAACCACTGCTTTAGAGCAAGCTTTAACTTTTTTTTTTTTGTTGTTGTTTTCTTTTAAAATGTTAATGGGACCAAAAATATAATAAAAAGCTCCCCGAATGCTGCTTTGTAACAGGGCTGCCACTCAATTTTTCTTAAATTCCCAAGATTTAGTCAAAATATTTCCCAAGATTTCCCAAGATCATAATAATATATAAGTTTTTTTTTTTGAAAAAGGGAAATTGTCTTGGGAATTGTTAAAGAACAAGTGAGTTTTTTCCTGGATGGGGTAGTGAATTCCCAACATCTTGGGAAATGTCCCAAGGTGTGGCAGCCCTGCTTTGTAATTGTAAAAGTTTGAACAGCGGAGACTGAGGAGTACTGCGCGGAATACTGCTATTTCAGTGACTTCAATGACACGCCCTAGCCCACTGGGGTCATCAACCCCATCAAAAGATGTACGATTCATCGCCACATCAAACGGGCCGAGGACTTTGAACTCATCAGGAACACCACACATTCACAGCATTGTCGAGTGCTTTAATAATAATAAAAAAAGTATAACTATAGCGTCAATTTACGCTGGGTTGTTTTGTTTTTTTTTGTTTTTTTCCTGCTGCAAACCCAAGTGTGACATTATGAAGTTTAAATCTGTGTTCTTTTGAGATCAATTTTTTTTTCGAAACTTCCTTTAACGGATTGTTTTTCCTGCCAAAGAAGTCTACGAGGCTGTAAACCTGAAAGCCTTTCAGTGTATACTATTTAAACAAATACACCGATAGATCCACACGTAAATGGCATCTACTCCCGGCATTGAGTATAGCATTGAGTTGCACACTTCGATGCACATGAGTGTGTGGAATGACCCCCCCCCCCCCCAAAAAAAAAAAATTTCTGTATTTACCCGGGAAAGGGAAAAAAACCCCCACTGACCTAGAGTAATCTGCGGAGCGCGCCCTGTCATTGAACAAAACCTCTGTGACGTAGCCGAAGTCTGTTGGCAGACAGAAATACTACAACCTCGACAGTTTCCGCGGCCTTCTCATTTTATCACTCGTGATCACTGCATGACCTGGTCCTGTCCGTGTCACCGGCTAAACTTTGTAAGGACTGTGGGATGTGCGTAAGGGGTTGAAGGTGGGGGGGGGGGGGGGGGGGGGCTTGAAGTCAAGGGGAGGGAAAGCGGCCACCGGAAAAGGGGGGGGGAAAAAAGGGGGGGGGGGGGCGTTGGGGGTGGGGGGGGGGGGGGGGGGGGGGGGGGGGGGGGGGGGGGGCGAGGGGGGGGCGTGAAGGAAAGGGGAAGGAAATCGGACACCTGAAAAGGGTGAGAGAAAAAAGTGGGGGTGGGGGCGTTGGGGGTAAAAGTACAGAAAGTGGAGTGATGACGTCAAACCATGCAGTCGAGCGTAAACACAAACCGGGTATAAAAGTCGACCACGCTCCGGTGACAGTTCACCAGTTTTGGTAATCAACGTCCTTCCCACACAACAACTACCGGACAGCTAAGAGCAAGTTCTAATGTCATCTCCTGCTGAAGTACGTGCAACGACCGTATTTGTTGGTGCGGAGAAAGTAGTCGTTCGTGAGGTCAAGTTCTCGTTGGTTAGATAACAATAGCTGAGACCAGCTTCTTCTTCAAGAGCTAATTTCTTCAAAAAAAAACAAAAAAAAGCGACATATCAAAGAGATCGCCATAATCCGAGTGCTGTGTACGTCCCAGTGAGTTCCAGGCCAGTCCTCCATACACAACAGCCTGAAGATGATGATCAGTACTGTCGAAACAAACGTAAGCAAACATATTAATTTAAAAGAGCTTAGATAATCGTTATCAGAATGTGAGAACCAATGCAATCTTTTCATTTCAAGAGCGTTTAGTATAGACCTGTATTATGCAGGTGAAGGTGATATCTTGCCACAGCCAGAAGCGTCACTGTAATTGGCGTCTACATTACGAGAGTCAAGTTGAATGTGATATCTTGACCTAGCCAGATGCGTCACTGTTAATGACGTCTTCATTACTACTAGGGTCTAGCTGAATATAATATCTTGACTTAGACAGAAGCGACACTGTCAATGACGCCTTGTTTGTTAACTGCAAGGACATAGTAGACTTCCATATAATTTGATTAAAGATTCTGCTGGGAATTGGGGACACAATGTCTATCAATGTTTGCATTAAATGTTCGAAGTGTCTACACGTCCGGCGCGCCGGACATGTAGTGCGCAAGATATACGTCCGGCGGCTTGTCACATGACCGCCGGACATGGCCGGACGACTAGTAGTTTTTATAATTCGAAACAAAGTAAAGTTTAGTACATCTTGTGTGGTCTTGTGGTAGAGTGGTTGCATAGGAAGGTTTGAGGATCTATACCGGGGAGAGGGTCTTTTTTTTTCTACCCATTTTAATTAAAAATATTTTGTATATATTTATATTAACATGTTCCTCAGCAACAGTAGTTTCATGAGAAGTTTTTACATATTTTGTAGCAATTGAAATAATTTAAAATGAAATCTTTTACTTTAACTTTTATTGGTTGCCTACGCCTACTCCACACTGGCCCCTAATTTATTTTATGTATTACTGGTACACAAACTCAAATAACAAACTAAACAAAAATGTTTACAAGCCACTTTCACTTAAGTTTTTTTTTTCTATTATTTGCATTCAAGATACTCAGTACATTACTTGGTAGAGAAATAGATTTTAAAATTAACAATAGTTTTGAATTATTCGCAGTCACGTGACAAGGCTGACCGACAAGATATCTCTCGCCACTTTGTTACGGCGGTCATGTGACTTGGTCGCCGGACACATAGTGCGGGAGATAGACGCGCCGGACGTGTAGACACTGCCTTAAATGTTATTTACCTGCTCGGTGATTAAAGAAAATCAATCGGTTTAATAATTAAAGGAATGGGGCGTTATTCTGTCAACAAGTTTAGGAGAATAGGGGGGGGGGGGTTAAGAGGGGTGTAACTGAGATGAATTTATGGTTGACCTCAATGCACTGAGCGTATGTGCTCTTGAATATTCACAAGTAGGTTACCCCGAATGTGTTATGTTAGTAGCCCATACTTTTCCTCAGGCTGTTTGACCACGCTGCGAGAATCCATTGAAATAATGTATCTCGCGTGTTCGTTCGGCCCAAACACTTCTAAAATTACAACAAAAGAAAAACTGTTCGCTGGTCCGGCCTAGTTAGACCGTTGAGCTTGTGGTTATTGGAGCAAAGCGAATAACAACTGGGCTGTCCATTATACTCTACAGGTGGCGAGAGGCTACTCATTCAGTCTATTATTGTGGAGTTTAATTGTTACACGGCGTGTTGTAGTGTTGTCACATCGCATGGGTCAAAGTGTGTACCATCTATCCTTTTAAATAGCGAGATTAAACATTTTTTAAAAGGTTTTCTACTTTTTCACTCTATTTCTTTAAATACTAATATTTTCGTGCATTATAATTTTTGACACAGTTCAATGGATCTCAACCGGCTGTACCGAGCGACAATAGTGCGGTCGTCTCTGCCGTTACCAGCAAGAAGAAGAAAAAGAAGAGTAAAAAGAATGGAGAGAAACAAATGGGGGACCTAAAAAGGGAGTTGGATATGGACGAGCACAAGATACCCCTGGAGGAACTGTGCAACAGATATGGAACAGACAGAGTCAATGTAAGTGAAGGGATAGGAAGTCCCCTCTTTTTCAATAGTTAAGACTTTTCAGGATCTAAATTTTTTGTTCACACTGTTGCTAGTGTCAATCTGAGTTCAATTACTTATAAAATTGGTTACTTTTTTAAATTAAAAAAAACAAAACAAAACAAAACAAATACTATGGCCCAACCCCTATGCTCTCCAGCTTAAAATGAACAAATCTCTCTCCCCGATAAGGGCCACACTCCAGAACGAGTAGCAGAGTTCCAGGCTAGAGATGGTCTGAACCAGCTGACCCCACCGAAATCCGTTCCGGAATGGGTCAAATTTGTGAAAATCTTGGTCGGCGGCTTCTCTCTGCTCTTGTGGATAGCCTCCACCCTGTGCCTCATTGCGTATGGTATACAAATAGCGGGCAACGAGAATCCTCCTGGAGATAATGTAAGAGAAAACTTTGTAATCTCTAAGCCTTGTCATAATCTCTAAAATTTGTCAAAATCTCTAAACCTTGTCATAATCTCTAAACCATGTCATAATCTCTAAACCATGTAACAATCTCTAAACCATGTCATAATCTCTAAACCATATAATATAACACTTGTCAGCTTGTTAAAATTTCAATGAAAATGATTTTAAAAATGTTTCATGCCATCTCACGTAGCAATAATTTTAAACAAAATGTAAAATAGGCTAACATGTTTTAAAGAATTTTCAAATTTCAGATTCTATAATTTTACATGTAACATGTAGGCCCTATATCATATTCCTTATGGTTATGCCTTATGCTACAGGAGATCTTACTGAAGCATACAATGTTCCATATGTTACCAAGTTATATAACGAACATAATTTAATTCCAGCTTTACCTTGGGATAGTGCTTTTCTGTGTGGTGCTCATCTCTGGGGTTTTTTCCTACTACCAGGAATCAAAGAGCTCAAAAATTATGGATTCCTTTAAAAACATGGTGCCCCAGGTAAGTGTTCCCCATGAAGAAACTATGCTTAAAGTTGGGGGGGGGGTGTATATGCTTTTTTATTTGTTTATTTTAAATCACATGCCAGATTGTTGCTACTTCATTGCCTCTAATGATTCTCAAAAAATGAAAATTATTTCATTATTGTATCAATAATAAACAAAAAAAATAAGCTGAAATAATCTCTTTTTATAGCAAGCCTTGGTGATACGTAATGGTCAGAAAATGACCATCAATGCTGAACAGATTGTTGTTGGCGATATTGTAGAGGTCAAGTTTGGTGATCGTATCCCAGCTGATATCAGGATAATCTCCGCCAACAGTTTCAAGGTAACAACTGCATGTACATGTGTACGTGTGAAGAAATTTATTTTAATATATAATTTATTCTAAATCATTTTTTTTTTCAAATTATAAATGTCAATAAAAAGGATATGTTAAAATTTACATTGCAATGCTGTCAATTGTAGAATTTTGCTAACACAATGTTTAATAAAATGGAATGCTAAGATATTGTGTTCTGTTAAAAATTTAATATTAAACATAATTACGCTTCCACTATTTGTCATTACTCTGCTCTAAAACACAATCGTTAAATTATCTTAAACATGAAATGATTTTTATTCAAGGTGGACAATTCGTCCCTAACTGGAGAATCTGAGCCACAATCGAGGTCACCAGAGTTCACTCATGAGAACCCATTGGAAACCAAAAACCTGGGATTTTTCTCCACTAGTGCTGTTGAGGGTAAGTACATTTCTATTTCAAATAGGAGAAACAGGATGTCCTTACAGATTATTCATGAATGAATGAATGCCAAGATGGACCCTTTTTGTCTTAAATTGAAGTCAAATTGTAAATCAATATTTATATACGAGACCCTTCAGTAAATTAAGTTTTTAAATGTCTGGAAAAAAGTTAATTTATATAATTGTCATGTTGACATATATACCGTGTCATGTTGACATATATACCGTGTCATGTTGACATATATACCGTGTCATGTTGACATATATACCGTGTCATGTTGACATATATGCTGGTGTCATGTTGACATATACGCCGGTGTCATGTTGACATGTACACCGGTGTCATGTGGACATGTACACTGGTGTCATGTGGACATGTACACCGGTGTCATGTTGACATGTACACCGGTGTCATGTTGACATACACACCGGTATTATATAGACCTACAAATAGTTTTATAAATCTGTATATAATATAAAATATATCATCTTACATCAGGAACTGCAACTGGTATTGTAGTCAGGATTGGAGATAACTCTGTAATGGGACGCATCGCCAACTTAACAACTGGTCTTGATGCTGGGGCAACACCCATTGCCAAGGAACTGACCCACTTTGTCCACATCATCACCGTCATAGCAGTTGTCCTAGGAATCATATTCTTCATTGTAGCCCTATTTTTTGGATACATCTGGATCGATGCCATTGTCTTTCTAATCGGTACAATAGTGGCAAATGTACCCGAAGGGCTCCTGATCACTGTGACGGTAATTAATATTTTACATTTCTCCTTAAATAGCAGTATCAGATGTTAGTGAAAAATGTCTTTTTTGGATCAGTTGACAAATAACACTGTAAAATCATGTATATAGAACAAAAAATATTTACACCGTTCAACTTTCTATGGTTTTAGCTCTCACATTGTATGGTTCTGTTTATGCATGAGGCTTTCATTATAAAAGAAATCTAGCATTTACCCACATTCTATAACTTCATATGTGTATCATATTATAGGATTATTTATTCAGGGAATGTGAAATAGGGAAAGTTGTATTCTTCCTTTCACTAATGTAAATATAGGGTACATGTAACTATGGGGTAGGCCTACATGGATGCAGTGGACACAAGTTTCAATTTTCATTTAGAAGACATTAATTCAGATTTACCTGTTTTATTTTTATTTTTTCGATTGGAGGGAGTATATTAATTAAAATCAGACATTAATCAAAAACAATTTTAAAAATGTAATCCTGTCTTTTCAAGATTTGTTTAATTTCTCTTCGAGATCTTTTCACCTCGTTTGGGATCTTTTTGCATCAGCTGAAAGAAATCTTGCAATCAAGAACCCTCAGAAACATAACATAATTTTAATTACAGTATATTTTAGTGGCCTTGTTATGGCTTTGTTCGGCTATCTCTATGTAAAATTCCTATTCCCAACCTGAAAGGTGTCTCTAACCTTGACCGCTAAGCGCATGGCAAAGAAAAACTGTCTGGTGAAAAATCTGGAGGCTGTTGAAACCCTCGGCTCAACATCTGTCATCTGCTCTGACAAAACAGGGACTCTCACTCAAAACAGAATGACCGTGGCCCATATTTGGTTTGATGGCCGGATTATTGAGGCTGATATGAGAGAAGACCAGTCCAGTATGTTTCTTTAGACCCTTGTTTTGTGTTTATTGAAGACCTGCAATCCTATTTCATTGGATCTTTGGACTAAAGGCTCTTATAAAAAAAAATTAAGCATTTTTATATTTTAAAAATTTATTACATAACAAAAATTTGCTCCAAAAATCAAAGAACTGTTATCAAAATTAATTTTTAATATTTGGTATTTACAATAATTCACCATTGAATGGAAAAGGGGGGTGGGGGGGGGGATAATTCTTACAGCAACTTAATTTATGAAAATATTTTCAGATACATTAAGATTGATTTAAAGAAGAAAATATTTCATGCATCTGCATTTTAATCTGTAAATATAACTTTTTTCATCTTACCACACAGCTATCAAATACTTTTATTTCAGATGGTCAGTACTCTTCAGATGATGCTTCATGGATGGCACTGGCTCGAATCACCATGTTGTGCAACCGAGCTGAATTCAAGATTGATCAAGAAAATGTACCTATACTCAAAAGGTATGTACCTATACTCAAAAGTTAACAAGTTTTTATGATGTATTAAATGTACCTATACTCAAAAGGTAACAAGTTTTTATGATGTATTAAATGTACCTATACTCAAAAGGTAACAAGTTTTTATGACGTATTTCATACACGTTTATTTAAATGTTACTTTAATTTTAAGTGGAATAATGTTCACTCACTTTTACTAATCACACCAATTGATGAATGTCAATTAAGAAAGCCTAAGATGTTGTATTGAACACAATAACAAAGTTGTGTAAGATTTTTTTAATGGAAGCATTTAAGTACTATATTAAATAATGAACTAAAAAGTTTACTATTACTGATGTAAACTTATATCAACTTCAAAACATGTTACAAATAATGGTATTTTTTACATTATATTACAAATAATAAATGTCTCATTTACATAATTTAAATTCTCTAAGGGAGTGTAATGGGGATGCCTCGGAGTCTGCATTGCTGAAGTGTGTGGAACTTTCTATTGGCAATGTCATGAAATACCGTCGGGAACATAAAAAGGTTCTGGAAATTCCCTTTAACTCAACCAATAAATTTCAGGTAAGAATAAACTTGCTTTCAGATAGAGTTTGTGATTTAATGTAAGTATATCAACCATGTGAGCCTTGTGTCAAAATTATCCTATATCAAAATGAGATTCCTTTACCAACATTTTTAAAAAGCTTACAGTCAGAAAAAATTTGTTAATCAGTGAAAATGAAAATATTCTTGCAAATACAAACTGATGTTATTTTTTCTTTTCTTTAAATAATACAGGTATCAATTCATGAGTGTAAAGATGAAACCACTGGCTCTCACTACCTGCTTGTGATGAAAGGTGCCCCAGAAAGGATCATTGACTGCTGCTCCACCATTTTGATGGATGGTCGAGATGAGCCATTGAATGAGAATTACAAAGAAGCTTTCAACTCTGTCTACATGATGCTAGGAGGTCTGGGAGAGAGAGTATTAGGTGGGTGAGGCTTGTAGAATATTGCTTTAATATTAAGAATTCGTTTTTTATTGAGCAGTAGGAATTTAAATTAAATTTTGTTTTAAATATTCATTTTCAATTGCGGTACTTTTTCTAGAGACAAAAATTTAATAATTCCTTCATTGAACATTGACTTTTTTGAGATTTTTGAGTATCTCCTTTTTATTAAGGCATATCTTGTTTATTGTATTGTATTGTCGGCTGAAGAAGATATTTGGCCAAAAAGTCATCAGTTTGTCCATTCTTTTCAAGCCAAAACAACTTATTCAACTATTTAAGTAATTTATTAAAATAACATGTAGGCTATACTATTGAATATATAGTCAAGATGAGCTAAAAAGGTTTTCAAAACTATTGAATTTGTCCATAATCCTACTTATAACCATATAACTTGTGTCAATTTTAATCCATCTTTTAGGTTTTTGTGACTACCAGCTCCCACCCAAGGAATATCCACTGGATTATCCCTTTGATGCTGACAATATCAATTTCCCCATCTCTGGCCTTCGGTTTGTTGGTTTAATGTCAATGATCGACCCACCCAGAGCAGCAGTGCCTGGAGCAGTAGCCAAGTGTAGGAGTGCTGGCATTAAGGTTAAGTAAACTATGAATAATGCTGTCATTAAGGTTAAGTAAAATAGGAAAAAACTGCACAGAAATCTCTACAGTATTTTAGCAAAGAATGTGGATTTATTTATTTTTGTCAGTCTGTTAGGTCTGCTAAATGAAAATAATTTTATATGATTATTCTAATTATACAATTCTTGAAATTAGCTTTTTATAACCACATTTTCATTTCAAGAAAGCAAATTTTAAACATTTAATTTACTCTATTCATTTGTTTTATTAATTTTCTGCATGCCATTATGTTCAATGTTATTTAAAAAAACAGCTTTCATTGTTATGTCTAATTAGAATTTGTTTTTTTAAATTACAGATTATAATGGTGACTGGCGACCACCCCATAACAGCCAGAGCTATTGCTATTGGAGTTGGAATCATCTCAGAAGACAGCAAAACTGTACAAGAGATTGCTGAAGAAAGAGGAATACCAGTAGAAGATGTAGACCCAAGGTCAGCTATTAAACATATATATAGTACTGCCTTTGTTTTGAACTTAAAGTGTATCTTGTTGGGCCTATAATTTGTTTTTTGTAATATGCCTTAATGCCAAAAAATTGTTGTATTTTTTGCACTGTTCCTCAATGTCTACAATTTTTTTTATGATCTGCCCTATTCATCAATGCTTCTTACAACTTAAAGCTAGGAGAATAAATTTGCTCCAGCCCTTTGGCACTTTATGATTTATAAATGCTCTTGATAGACAAATATGTTTGTAATAAAAATGTTTTCACTAATTAACCTTAATAATATAAAAATCAAGGTAAAATGTTTTAAAAGTTTTTAATATTATAGGTATAAAATAATAGACATCATCTCATAAAACAATATAGGCTTAAGCTTATAAAATAATATAGCCATGAGTTTATAAAATAACATAGGCATACGTTTATTTTAAAAAATCTAAACCATTTTAAAAGCAATAAATTTTTTTTTCATTTGTCAAAATATTCTCCGTATTAAAACTTTATCTAATGTTCATGATGGCAAAACAGAGATGCTAAAGCTGCAGTTGTGCATGGTGGTGAGCTAAGAGAAATGACACCTGCTCAAATTGACAGCATTTTGTCCAACCATTCTGAGATCGTCTTTGCCCGGACATCACCCCAGCAGAAGCTGCTGATTGTAGAAGGCTGCCAGCGGCTGGGACAAATTGTGGCAGTGACTGGTGATGGTGTCAACGATTCCCCTGCTCTTAAGAAGGCAGACATTGGTAAGCTGTTCAGTAGACATCATATTATTTTAATTCGTATTTAGTACAACCCCTTTCATTTTAAAGTAAATTCTTGATTTCATCCCATATTACATTTCTTCCAAATAAACACTATTCCAGTGTGAAATAAATTAGCAAATTATAGGATAAAAACTGTTCATCCAATATTGATAGTCAAAATTTGTGTCCCCAGGTATTGCTATGGGTATTGCTGGCAGTGATGTGAGCAAACAAGCTGCAGACATGATCCTGTTAGATGATAACTTTGCCTCCATTGTCACTGGTGTGGAAGAAGGCCGAATAATCTTTGACAACCTGAAGAAGACCATTGCATACTCTCTAACCACAAACATCCCTGAGCTGGTCCCATTCATTATCTTCCTTCTGGCTGATGTCCCCTTAGCCCTGGGGACCATTGCTATGTTATTCATTAACCTTGGCACCGACATGGTTCCAGCCATATCTCTGGCTTATGAAGAAGCTGAACTGGACATTATGAAAAGAAAGCCACGGGACCCAGTTAAGGACAAACTAGTAACAGACAGGTAACTTTTGCTTATTGGTATCTATTTACCATAATTCTGTTTAATGATTGAGAGATCACTGTCATAGGCAGAGTGGTGTCTAGGGAGCCTTGTTCTTTGGTTATCAATAAGAAACACTATAATTTCAGGTGTGAGGCAAGTTACTGTGCTACAGCTTTTTTAAACTAAGCTCTTGTGCAGTAGTATTTTTTTTTAAAGCACATTTTTTATTTTGCAGACTTATTAGTGCATCTTATGCTCAGGTGGGACTAATGGAGGCTGCTGCTGGATTTTTTGCATATTTTGTTGTCATGGCAGAAAATGGTTTTCTAATGGACCGACTTGTTGGTGTTCGTGCCGAATGGGATTCTCCTGCAGTTAATGACTTGATGGATTCTTATGGACAAGAGTGGGTAAGTTTTAAAATAAAAGCTTAATAAGACACATGAACATGGAACACATGCTTTTAAAGATGTAAGATATTAAGTTGCAATTCCATAACCAATATTCGGATTGAGATCTTTTGCATTGAACTGTTGGGAACATAAACATTTCTTATAAAAATTACAGATTCGGAATTAAATATTGCCCTTCAAAATATGGATTCTCAATTCAATCCTTTTTTGAACAAGATGATTGGGAGATATTTTTATTAAATAAAAAAACTAAAATTTTTTAAAGTATATGTTATTACATCATCCGTTATGAAATACACCATATTTGTTCCAAGCCATTTGCATAAAGAGTAAAGTTTTCAAATCTATATATACATTTTCCTGCAAATATGATCTTGTTTTAAGAGATTTAATTTTACAAATAATTTATTTCATATTTAATTAATTCATGTTGAAGTTTAATGATTATTGTTTAGTCATACCTTACATCTTTCAAATGTTTGATGTTATATTTGTACAATACTTTCAGACCTACTACCAGAGAAAGAGATTGGAGATCACTGTCTACTCTGCTTTCTTTGTGGCAGTTATCATCACTCAATGGGCTGATTTACTCATTCGTAAAACTAGACGCCTCTCTATCTTCCAGCATGGAATGAAGTTAGTATAATAGTCTAATTTAAGAAATTTATTTTGAAACTGGATGGGCACTCTGGGCGGGGGCACTCTGGGCGGGGGAACTCTGGGCGGGGCACTCTGGGCGGGCACATGTAACAATATGATTGTAACAATTCAACTGCAATTTTTTGTATTAATTTTAGGCCTATATATTTTTTAAATGCCGTGTTAAGCATCTTTCATATATTTTTATAAAAAAAACTTGTTAGAATCTAATTTAAAGGGTTATAGGCAAAAAAGCATGTTTCTTGTTATGGATAAGATGGTTCATTTTGAGAAATTTTTACTTTTCCAGAAATCATTACCTGACTTTTGGATTGTTCTTTGAAACTGCACTGGCTGCATTTTTGTGTTATACCCCAGGCCTGAATGAAGGGCTGAAATTTCAACCTTTAAGGTACATTCTTTAATAGTCTATTTTAACTGCTTCTGAAATCATGTTTCATGTTTCTGTATGTAAAATAAAGTAGTATAAATTAGAGAGCAATGTGCGCACTACAGCACCTAAAGGCAGTTAATATTTAATTCTTTATTTTTACAGATTCACATGGTGGCTTTGTGCCATCCCTTACAGCTTGTTGATCTTCACCTATGATGAGATGCGAAGGTTTCTGCTTAGACGTTACCCTGGAGGCTTTGTGGAGAGGGAGATGTATTACTAGCTGAATCGGCCTTCAATTATGCATTTAATATGGTTCTTTTTAAGGTTTTTGAAAAGAATATCGTCCTCACTTTACACAAATTTCATTTACAATACAGGATTGTTATCTATCTTGAATTTGAAATGAAAGAACTTAGTATTTAAACATTTTATCAATTATTGATTTTAACATTTAATTGAACTTCCTTTTGAAATTTCTAATACTTGGTTCAATTTTAATAATCATGGGAAAGCATTTAAATTTCATGTGATTTTTCTATAACAAATGATTTAGCAATTCTAATCATTTTTTATTAATTTTTAACCTCACTTAATTTTTTAAACATTCAGCAATTATTAAAATATTTAAAATTATAAAATACAACTTGATAATTGGAGAATTAGGCTTATATTATCTATTTTAGACCTTGTTCCATAGTTTCTATTGGATGCCTTGGATGACCATTTGCTTAAAGTCCAGAGAATTTTTCATGATTGAGGGTACATAAACAAATTGCACAAAATGTGACCAGATTTATATTACATGCCATTATATTGGCATTTTACATTTTTAATTATATTTTAATAATTTTTCTGTCTCTAGTTACAAATGTATAAGTTTTACAATAAAAATACATATAAAAATGCATTTCTATTCAGTATGTGAATTTAATTTTGCGTTACATTGAATTAAACTCAAGTTTAAAACTTGATTTGGATTTTTATAAATTTTTGTTCCTTTTATTTGGAAACATTTTTTGGGTAAAATAGCTTTTTTTAAAGTAGGATCCAAATTTTTAAAATTCGTTAGCTAAATTTACAAGAGTAAAAAAAAAAAAAAAAAGTAAAAAAAAAAAAAAAAAATTAAAAAAAAAAACATTTTCATTTATATTTTTTGCAGTTATTAATTAAATGAATCCTATTTGTTATTTTTTACAATGTCTTTCTATATTTGTTTATTTTTTATTTTAAAAACTAAAATAAAGATTAAAACAAATTACCACGTTTCAGAGTTTGCTTCTTTAAAATCTGGCAAAGGAACCATGCACCTAACGTAATCCACGTACCACTATTATTGTATTCCTGTAGTTTAAATGGGATCCTTATTCTGTCTACATTTTGGCTAGAAAAGTTTGTAATATTCTTCCAGGTTCTGTAGGTACATTCATTCTTGTCCTAAAACTATCAATCCTAGAACTATCAATGAGTGGGGGTGATGTTTAACCAGGGTTGCAGGAAGACACAGATTTAAGGCAAAGAATCTCAAAGATGAATGATAAAATAAGAGCCCATTGCCATTATATTTTGGGCCTATTCTATTATGATGTAATGTAACGATATCCCTTTGGCTTAAGAACAGTAAGTTTAACAAATCGGTAACTGTAAGAAAATCTAGTTAGAGCCTTACACTATATTTGAAAGCAAGTTTATTCTTACATGAAATAAATAATGGCCGCTCCTGATTATAAGCTGAAGGCTTACTTCCTATTGTTCGCATATATTGGTAATTTTTTAATATTTTTTGCATCTTAACAATTTTAAAGACGCCAATTCTAAAATACATTTGTATCAATATAAAAAAACACATTTTATTTTAATCCAAACTTGTCAAATTTATTTTCAAATTATAATTAATCATAAACGCATGAGTTTTAAAGTAGAATAGGTGTTAATAATACATTGTATGATGGCAACATGCTTAAAAAAGAATAGGATAATTTGTAATGTACTTCATTACACGTCTGAAAATTTTTAATTTAGACTTTTTTTTTTTTTTTTTTTTTAACTTAAAATTTTATTTTTTTTTTTTTTTTTTTTTTTTTTGTTTTTTTTTTTTTTTTTTTTTTTTTTTCCTTTTTTTATTAAATTTCCATATTTTTTTCTTTTTTTTTTTTTTACATCAGAATAACCGACACTAACACACTTTGCCAGCTATTTGCACGCACTTACCTTTTTTTTTTTTACCCTAGATGTTGATCTAGCACAGTGTCTCTCAACCATCCTAGAGCAGCGACACTTTAATATGGTTTCTTTTGTTGTTGCAACCTGGCAACCATCTACCATAAAATTATTTGCGTTGCCACTGCATAAATATGTGTTTTGCAATCATCTTAGGCGACCCCTGTGTAAGTGTCCATCGACCCCCAAAAGCATCGGTTCTCAACATGTGGGTCGCGGCCCTTTTGGGAGTGGAACAACCTTTTCATAGGTATCGCCTACGATCATCGAAAACCGATAAACTCTAAAGTTATGTAGCAGCAACGATAAAAAAATGTAGGGTTAGGGGTCGCCACAACATGAGGAGCTGTGTTATAGGGTGGTGGCATTAGGAAGGTTGAGTACTACTGCCCAAATGGGTCGCGTCCCAACGTTGAGGACCACTGATCTAGCAGAAAGCTAACTAAAAAAAATATATTAAAAAAAAACGGAAACAACGACAGAAAAAGTAGTCTAGCATTCGATTATCATGACAATTGCATTTTTTCTTACTAGTTTTCTATTTTAAAAAAAACTTCTTCCTAAATTGTCAATTTTTATTAAATTCTGTGACTTTGGTTTTAAAAAAAATGTGTTTAAGTATATGGAAAAGGCAGTTTTATAGTTCCCTGAAGAAAGTTATAGTAGCTTGAAATTCCAAATAAAAAATTCAATCAGCCGAATATTGGGAAAATTATTATTTTTCTTTTTTTTTGTATACAATTTCCCACAGATAAAATAACACATTAATGAATATATATCTTTTATAAATAAATAATGTCTTCTGAACTTAAATCTGCCATTCGTCTACGATTTATGAAAAAGACTAGTTTTAAAAACTCATAAAAATGTATAGATCTTTCTAAAAATAGTGGGCTTTTTTTCTTTTTGGTTTGGTAAAACTTGGAAAAATTTAGGATATTATTCTAAGACAGTTTTTTTTTAAAAAGTATTTATTTATTTTTCTTTCTTTTCTTTTGCGCTCAACAAGTAAACTGATGTCAGCAGTGCCTTATGTGATGGAATTTTTTTTTTCTCCCTTTTTAAGTGTCCGCTCGTCAGATAAACAATACGTAACAAAGGGCTGCTTGGATTTTTTATATATATGTAGATATATATTTTTTAGCAAAAGAATACACTGAAGACGTTGAGGTATTTAATCTATTGGCAAAAGAGGTTGGGTGGTGGGGGGGGGGGAGAGTTTTAAGGAAAAAAATACAGATTAAAAGGGGCATTTAGGGAAATCCCATTTCCAACATGAAAGTCAATGTTTAAATTGGGGAAGTATGAAATTTTAATGTAGAGAGACCAAAATAAAATATAACAAATTTTCATTTTTTGTTTTTTATATATGTAGATATATATTTTTTAGCAAAAGAATACACTGAAGACGTTGAGGTATTTAATCTATTGGCAAAAGAGGTTGGGTGGTGGGGGGGGAGAGTTTTAAGGAAAAAAATACAGATTAAAAGTGACATTTAGGGAAATCCCATTTCCTACATGAAAGTCAATGTTTACATTGGTGAAGTATGAAATTTTAATGTAGAGAGACCAAAATAAAATATTACAATTTTTCATTTTTTGTTTTATTAAAATGGGTTGGTCCACTGCTCCCGTATTAAACAGAAACTCTGAATCATAAAAAAAAAAAGAACACAGACAGGAACTGCTCATTCCTGCTTAAGACAACCAGGGAATGGAACGAGCTTCTAAAAGAAACAGTTCAGGCGACAACGCTTGACACATTTGCGTCTATTGTCTCATGCCATCCAACACCCAGTTCCTGATACCCTCACTGGGTAGCCCTTGCAACCAGTGAAATATCCTCTTAAATAGGAGCCAGAATGATTTATACATTGATGGTGGGCCCTCAAAATATAGATGAAGATAATTGATCACATCAGTTAGACTTCTATGAACAATTGCCCATAATTTGCTGTTTGTAAAATTCTTAATGAATTTTGCTAGCAATTTTAAATAAAGTAGGAATATTCTAGGACTCACGCACAGTGAACTGAATAAGTATATGCTTTATAACAAATACAATTACAAAGCCACGACAAGCTGGTGGGAATCAATGGCCTAAATATTGAGTCCCCTTGCCATAAAAACATGTTTGAAATACCAGTTAGACATGGGTGATTCACTTCTTGTTGATGTAAACAAATTAATGTGGCAAATGTCAATCTCATTTGGAAAAAAATATTTAAAATCTTCAAATCTCTTGTATATAAAAAAATCTCTGAGACCTTTCTGTTGTCGACGAATGAGAAACTGGATACAAATTATACAGCAACGAAACAATAGGTTGTAAAACGATAGGCGTGTTGGTAGTTAAGCCATCGTACAACTTACATTTGCGCCTTATCAAGTTTAAGAAATCAATTGCTATATATCATTGAGATTTAAAACAAAAGATACAAAAATTAACCACATCAAAGTACTCGTTGATGTGCGGAAAGATAATTTCTTTACTTTTTTTTTTTTTTTTTTTTTTTTTTTTTTTTTTTTAAATATGAAAATTGCAGCCACGACATTCTCGTTATGACTTGCATAAGACCTACACACGGAACGTACCAAGATGTTTCACTGATTACGACTAGAGTACATGGCTTTCTTCGAAAATAAATAGTTTAGTGTTACGAACTCGATATTACCAGTTCAACAGCTTCGTTGTCATGGGCGCCCGCAGAAAACTTTCTAAGGGGGCGAGGGGGAATCGATTAACTTTCTTGGGGGGGGGGACAAAAAAATTTTAATAACGTTTTAATGTAGTTTTAATTTACTGTACCGTATTTGTATGGTGAACGAACGGACAGGACATCAGCTTAGTTACTTTCTCTTTATTTTCTCTTTATTTTCTCTTTACTTTAATACATTTTTTGTCTATTATTGTTTAAATTTTTTTTTATCCAATCAATCCAGGGGGGGGGGCAAGTGCCCCCCTTGCCCCCGTCCTTGCGGGCGCCCATGTTCTTTGTATAGGGGTAATTTAATTACCTAACAAACCATTGATTCGATGACTAATGTCTCTTTATCAATATTAATAGCTCCGTTACGAATTCTCCATTATATAATTGCTCCACAACTGCTATTCCAATCATAACAGAAGATCCCCACGTCATTTCCCATACCCAAATACGTCACAAAATAACCAAGCACAGTGTTATGTAGACAACGCGCTTATGTCATCTTTCCCCGTGAATGTGCTTTAGCTGACCCCAGGTTCGGTACCGCGTTTAGGGTGTGGCTAATTAAAATAGTGTCCCTTGATCTTGTTGACTAATAAAAACAAATCTATAGCCTATATTATTAGAATTCTGTAGAAATATCGAGACTAACCATGAAGGGAATATACGCTACGAGAGGGATTGGCGGAAAAGATTTTTGCTATTACAATTACAATACGAGACGAATATATGCAAATTTACTCTCTCCTTGCGTGTGCCTTCTTTTTCAACATTTTACATTTCTTTAAAAAAATTGTACCGGTACAAGTCATCATTGTACTGTAAGTCAGTACCTTTTATTTTTTTTAAATTTCTTTTTGACTTTGTAATTTATTATTAACTTAAATAAAATTATGAAATTGTAATTAGCCCTAGTTTGGCTATTGTTTCTTTGTTATTGCATTTAGTTTATGGTCCAGTCAAACCCGGTTATGTCGCGGGCTTCGGGGCTCGCCAAAAGGCGTCGAGATAACCGATGATCGAGA